TCTATTGCCACGTCCGTGGACGATAGTGCAACTTCCTCCTCGAAGTATTATCCTCGACGAGAGAGAAAAAAAAAAATAAATAAAATAAAAAAAAATAAAAAAAACAGAAGAAAATATCCCGTTCCATCCTCGGTGAACGTACTCTCTCTCTCTCTCTCTCTTCATTGTACTCTCCTGTGATCTCGCACGTGTCAGTGAACATGAAGAGTAGTATCATCGTGTCGATGGATGTTTTGTCGGGGATGATCGAGTGCGCGATACGAACGTTCGACGAAGAGTAAGTCGGTGGTCTCGTCGGTGGTCGTGAAACGACGAGGGATTGTGTACAGTGGTGGGACGCATTTAATAAAAGCTCGAGGAAACGGCGTGACATCGAAGGTTTAGGCCTGGTCGACGAGGGGCGTGGAGAGGAGGGCGTGCGTTCAGGAGCGTAGGAATGCGCGAGAGAAGGAAGGGTGGGGAGAAGAAGTGGAACGGTACACGACATCGGACTTAGCCAAGTTTAATAGAGAGAATCGTCGATGATCGGGACGCTAGTTGCCACCGATAACCGTAAATAAAATGGAAATGTAAAGGAGCCGGATGCGCTTAGCATCGGATGCGCAGGTTGGAGCGAGCGAGGAGGAGGGGGCAAGAAACGATGACACGAAAAGGCCGGCATGGATCGTGACGAACCGCATTCATGGATCCCCGGCGACTGTTAACGACGTCCGACCGTGAGATCGCCTGTGATAAGATCGTACGATTCCTCGTGCGCCGTGTTATCGTACCGCCGCCTCAGTGCCCGGCCATCGTTAATCAATCGCTCTGATTACCGGTTAAATGTTAATGAGTTTCCGCGAGATCGTCGCCGCGAATGGATCGTCGTCGTCGATCATCGGAGTAAAAGAAGTGGCGCAGGTAACGTTCTTCTTTTCGTTCGCTCGATGCCCCCGAGATTGAGACGTCGTATGTCAGGTAGGCGGTGTAAGAAATCGCGGTCGAAGCAGCAGATGATGCGTGTAACAGCGATGCGCGCATTAGCTATTTCGCTTGCCGAGTTAACCCGATCTGGATTCCTTCGGGTCGAGACGGCGGCAAGAAACGATTTTCCATCATGCTACCACGAGGATGGACTGGACTCCGTCGTCTCCCCGGAGGCACGAACCGTTTCTTTGCAATTAGAATTCCTCGTCGATGTACGCGAATTCCGGAAATACCGGCCATCATCATTCTCCTCAAATTGTTATAAATTGGATAGCCCGAGTTACCGTCCACCATTTAAACAACCGATCCTTTTTTTCTTCCTCTTCCTTTTCCCTTCCTTTTCGAAGCTTCTTTCGTCCGAAGATCGAATGAAGTTTTCGATCGATCAAAAAAAAAAAAAATAATATATACTCGGATGGAATGAAAAGTATATTCGAGAAGAACGGGGAGATTGCGGATAAGCGAATGGAATGCAACTTAATTTAATCCGCTGACAGAATCTCTAAACTCGTTTATCCTGGACGATTAGCCTGGCCCATTTAAATTTGTTCCTCCTTCGTAACTTCGATTCCTCCGAGTCGTTCACCGCAACGGCTAATTGCATCGCGTGCTCCTTTCCTTTTCCGCTTTCTGCGCTGGAACGGGAGTACGTGGTGAGCACGAAGCGCGATGATCATAGATCGTGGCTACGTGGAACCGAGGCGAGGAAGAGGAGAGGAAGAGAGATTACGCGCGTTCGAGGGTCCACGTGCACGCGTGTACACACGTGACTTGTAAATTCGCAGCGTGGCTCGAGAAACGATACCAAGTTTCTGCGGTTCGCGCTCGTAATTCTCTCTCTC